TAGACAAGAAACCAAAAAATGCATATTAAAGCATCATGTAGTGGTAAGTGCTTTGGATAAAAAATAAGTAAGGCAGATGAGGGATAGAGTGTCAAGGGAAAATTATCAGGAACACCCATCTGAAGAGGCAACATTTTAGAGAAGAAGATGGAGCCTGTGAATACCTGGGGAATAGCAGGAACGAAAGTCAGGTGGGAAAGAGAAGGCTGTAGTGTTAAAGGAATAGGAAAGTATCAGTGGCTGGATCAGAATGAGCAAGGGGAAGGCAGAATGAGGTGAGGTCAGAGAGAAGAGAGGGAGAGAGGCTGTAGACAGCACTGAGGATTTTGGCTCAAAGTGAGGAAGGAAGTAGCCAGAAGGTTCTGAATAGACATGGGACCTGGTCAAATTTCCTCTTTCAAAAAGGCCCCTTTTACCAAAACTGGTTTGGCTCAGTGGATAGAGCATCGGCTTGCAGACTGAAAAGTCCCAGGTTCGATTCTGGTCAAGGGCATATACCTTGGTTGCGGGCACGTCCCCAGTAGGGGTGTGCAAGAGGCAGCTGATGGATGTTTCTCTCTCATGGATGTTTCTAACTCTCTATCCCTCTCTCCTCCTCTCTGTGAAAAATCAATAAAATATATATATTTTTAAAAAGGCCTCTCTGTCCCTGGCCAGTATGGCTCAGTTGGTTGGAGTGTTGTCCTGTGCACTAAAGATTGCTGGTTCAATTCCAGTTAGGGCACATACCTAGGTTGCTGGTTCGATCCCCGGCTGATATTTCTGTTTCACACTGATGTCCACCCCACCCCCCGTCTCTCTCTGTCTCTGTCTCTGTCTCTGTCTCTCTCTCTTTCTCTCTCTAAAAATCAATAAAAACATATTTTTTTAAAGGCCCCCTCTGGGTAATGGTGGAGATGGAACATTAGGAAGAGAAAGAAGGGATGGTGCAGTCCGGTTGTCCAGGAGAGAGGTGAAAAGACCATGGCCTGGGCGATGTGATGCAACAAAGGGGTTGGATAAGACAGTCCCTTAGGGCCTTTCCAGCCCTGGCATTTTGTAATTTGGTGGATTCTCTCAGCACACACCTGGGAGGCGCAGCTAAGCCCCTGTTTTTCTTTTCTTGCAATTTCTCGGCTTCTTCTCTTGGATTCTGAGACTCAACAAAGCCCAATGATCTGAGGCTCAGAGTGGTGTCTCCTTCCCACCTGCCAGCCCCACGCCTGTCCCCACCTCTCAGGGACAGATGGGCGGGCAGCGGGAGGCAGCTGGACCTCGATGCCTGCAGGGCCCCAGGAGAAGAAATTATCTGAGAGTTCATAACCCCTCTCTGCCTTCCAGATCTTGAGTTAAAAGCCCCAAGTGTCACGGCCCCAAGGGTGAGGGTTGAAAGGTGCCAGGAGAGGGGCCGAACAAAGCACAAGGTGCTTTTCTGTCTGCAGCTGCCCACGTGAGGGGCAGGGACCTGGGGTACTGAGAACTCCAGCCCTGGGAGCAGGAAGCCATTAGCACTGAGGCTGAAAACTGGTGGCCTTCAGGCCGCAGCTGACCCACTGACCTATTTACTTGGCCTGAAAAGTGTTTGAGAGGGGAAAAAAATGAAGCCAATCTTTAAAAATGAAGAGATTTTACAATACAATCCAGATTTCTGGCTTCTCTTGAATAATTAGAAAATTGGACCATACTGACTGCCTATTCCCATATGACAGCATTCGGCAATAGCTGAGTAGCAGCTGTCCCCATTATTATTTTACTAATAGGTAAATACAGTCACATGATTTTTTTTAAAAAAAGTATATTTAGGCATATAATGAAGTCTCCCTCCCATCCTTGTTCCCCTTGTGCCCCGTGTTGCCTTCAGTAATCTCGTTTTCTTATTATTACACTTCCCAAGTTTCTGTATGCATGCACTCACAAGTACATATTATGCAAATACGGATTATGCCCCCTTTTCACTCAGCTTTTGTAACTGGACAAACAGTGTGTCTGTGCTGCCTGCCACTACTCTAGCCAATGAAGCAGAGGCAGGGTTGAGTCATATATGAGCGTTGATTCTAATACTGCGGGCAGGATGAGAGAGCAGCAGGTCAGCCACAGAAATCTGCTCTGCACCCAGCCTAGCCAGTTGCTTATATAGTAAAAGTACAGAGGAAACGTAGGAAAAAGGGAAGATTACAGATATGCAAAAGAGCTAGGGGGTCTTTAAAGGGCTTAGTGATATGCAAGGATTGGAGGTACACGGGGAAATAGCCAAAGGAGTGCAGATGGGCAGTTAACAGGGGAGCAGGCAGGAGGTCTACAAAGGCCTGCAGGGTTGCAAAAGGGCTGGGGATCTTCAGAGGGCTGGCGATTCTGGTTTCCGTAACAAACCCTGGTTCATCTTTCCATGGTAACAGGCAGCTCCAAACCGGGAGGAGGGGCTGCATCTCCCGGTCAGCTCCAGCCAGGGTAGAATGTGCCTTTAACAGGATAAAACCATCACTGTTAACAGCATGATTGGGCCCAACCTAGGCAGGTGCCTTGACCAAGAATCAAACAGGACCTCTCAGTGCATGGGACGATGCCCAACCAACGCAGCCATCAAAACTAGACGGGCCCTTTGAGATCTCATTCAGTTCCCCAAGCTCCTGTCTCGTTTTATAGATGGGGACACTGAGGCCCAGAGAGAAGTTCCATATCTAGCAAATGGCAGAAGCAAATCTGGGAGCCTTTTCCTGGTCGCCAGGTGTATGGTCTCTGGGCTTCATTGGGAGTCAGTCTAGGGAACAGTTCTTGTCACATTTTCCCAGTTAATTGAGAGTTCAGTCCATGCCTACTGCACCTCAGCGTGGACCAATTTCTAATGATATTCCTTTAGTTCTTGTGCAAACAATGCACGAGATAATTGACACAGCATTGTTTATAACAGCAAATATTGGTAATGACCCAAATAGTCACCTGTAGGCGGCTGGCTAAATAACTCATGGACTTCCTGACAACGGAATAGCATGCCAGTAAAAGAGGCGATGAAGCTCCCTGTCTCCCAATACAGAGAGGCCTCCATGGGGAAAAGCAAGGGAGAGATTAGGAGACAAAGCGAAAGGGGGCAGCAATAGAATTTGGGGAACCAGCTAGTATTGTAAGAAATATTAATCATGCCACCACTGCAGCAGGCACCACCTCACCAAGCACCCCAAGTTTGTGCAGGACATGATTTGAGAGGTGTGCAGCTTTGTGGAGACACATATCTGCACCAAGAAGAAGAGAAAGGAGCTGAGTAATGTCCTGATGGTCAGAAGGACTAGCCACCTCCCGTCTGGGAGTAAAAAAAAACAAAAACCTTTTCTGAAAAAGAAAAAAGATGAATTGTCTCAACTCTCATGGAGCTCCTAGGCAGTTCCAAACATAACTAAAATAAATTGCCACTGTACTGATGTTAATAAGGAAAGACTAATGTGTCATAGAAGCTCATAACAGGGGCGTGTCAGGGAGACTTCTCTGAAGGATAGAGAGCAGCGTACAGCTGGGTGGGAGATCCAAGAGGGCTTCCTGTGAAAGACATCACCCCATCTAATAATTAACATTATTTATCCTCACCACACCCTTTGGAGGAAGGCACTAGCTACCCCCCGCCCTTCATTTTACTTTTTCCTCCTAAACTAAGCAAAATTGAGTGTCTTTCCTAAGGTCATGGAGCCAGGAAGGGGAGAGTAGGTTTTGAACTTAGGTTTCCTGGCTCCAGAATCTCAGGCAGAAAAGTGTGCCTCGGACTGCCTGGTTGAATGGGCTGACCCTGAGCTTTAGAGAGACATGGAAGGTAGAGGGGATCCTTGGAGTGTGGGGGGGAGGTCAGAGGGGAGAACCTAATCCTGTCAGGCCCCATCTAGGACCTGTGAGAGGGCAGAGATCCAGACACATGCAGAACTGTCCCGGGGCCATAAGACAGTCTGGAGGCAGACCTTCCCTCTACCCAGAGCGCTGTGCACTCCATGAGTCTTCCTGCCTAGGATTGTAGGAGAGAAAGGAAAAAAAAGATATTGTTCCTGCCTAAGTCACATTGGGAGTCAGACTCCCCTTTAGCCCAACCCACAGAAACTCCCACTAGTCTACACACATCCTTGGATAGAGACTGTCAGCTTTGAATCCAGCCTTGGAAACTTCCTTAATCCCTAATTTTTCCTCCTCCATTTTCAGCTTTGGGCAACAGCTGCCACTCCAACCTCCTTAGCATTGCCAGGGCCAAATCAGTCCCTGGACATTAAAGGGATGCCGAGCTACAGCACTGCAGATGGCTGCTCCTTCCTGACCCACGGCAGCTGTCTCCCTTCATCTCCCCCTTTCTGCCATTCTGAAGCAGGGTGGTCCTCACACTTCCGCTCCTCCCCTCTTCTTTCCGCCCCTTCTCACTTACCAGTAACTCTCCTCTCCCCTTGAAAGATAGAAAAACCTATTCTGGAGCCAGATTATGGGTTTGAATTTAGCTCTAGCTGTATGACTCCAAGCAAATGAATTAACTTCTCTGGTTCAGTTTCTTCATCTGTAAAATGGGAAGGGAAAATGCAAATTACCTCACAAATTGTTAGTAATTGTACAGTGCTTAGAACAGTCCTGAGCAAAGAGAGGCTGCTGTATATGAGTGTTTGCATAATAAACCCTGGTATAGACATCCAGGATGTCTGAAGGATCCTGCCCCCTCTCCTGGGTTACTGTTATGTTTTTCACCTGGTCTCTCCCTTCCCAGGCAGCTTCCCTGTGTGCACTTCTCTCCTCTGGCTGCAGGGTCTTCTTTCAAAATCCTGACTTGATCACATTACCCCCTGCTCAAATTCCACAGTGGCTCCCCGTTGCTTCTTGGATAAAGCATATCTTCTGGCCCTTTAGCATCTCACCCTGCAGAACGCTACAGCTCCAACTTTCTCAGCTTTCCACCTCCCTAGCTGTGGGACCCAGACTTCCTTGAAAACATGTCCTCCAGTCTCAGGCCTTCAGGCTTTTGTACTAGCTCTTTCCTCCACCTCGTGTTCCCTCCCATCCCTTCCCTGCCCCTAGTTATGAGGGCTGTGGCCAGAGGAAGGCCGTTCCAGAGGAGGGAAAGGGGGGCGTGGGGAAGAGACAGCAACTCTCAGAGCTTCAGTTTTCTCAGCTTCAAAAGACAATAGCAAAAGGGGCCTCTCAAGATAAAAGAAGGGGGTGGAACAATATGTGAACACCCTGGAAACTAGGAAGTGGCCTGTCAGCATGGAATGATTGCTGAAGAGTTCCTGAGGTGCCCGCCTAAGCCGCCCCTTTCCAAGTTCCTGCCCGGCCCCACGCTCCTCAGACCCAGGCCACCGGAGGTAAACACAGGACATAAATGAAAAGGGAGAGGGGCGCGGTGAAGAAAGGAGAAAGGAAGTGGAGCAGGGTGAGGGGTGAGAGGCAGAGAGCATGTGGCTGGAGCCCCCCACCTCCCAGGAAGGCAGGAGAGGGTGACCTGGGATGCTCTCCCCCGTCCCCGGCTCCCTTCCCGGGGAGGGGAGTGCTCCCCGTGCGGACACAGCCCGGCAGGTGGAGGAGGGGTGAGGGCGGCGCCAAGGGTAATGAATAATTGAAGTAGAGGGAGGAGGAAGACGAGGAGAAGGAGGAAGAGGGGGAGGCTGGAGCCGCCACAGCTCAGGGTCCTCCCCACTCCGCACCCCACCCCCTCCGCCTCCCGGAAGTCGCTCCCCGCCTCCCGCTCCGCCAACATGGCCGCGAAGTCTGATGGAGCGGCGGCCGCGGCCAGCCCGGCGCCGGAGGGGGCGGCTGGGGGAGCCCGGGGCAGCGCTGGCGCGCGCGGGGAGGCGGCGGCCGCCGAGGGCCCCGAGGTGGCCGGGCCGGGGGGCTCGGCGCCCCGCTACGGGCTGCGGGACTGCTGCTGGGTGCTGTGCGCGCTGCTCGTGTTCTTCTCCGACGGCGCCACGGACCTGTGGCTGGCGGCCTCCTACTACCTGCAGGGTCAGCGGATCTTCTTCGGCCTCACGCTGCTGTTTGTACTCCTGCCCTCGCTGGTGGTGCAACTGCTCAGCTTCCGCTGGTTCGTGTACGACTACACGGAGCCCGCGGGGACCCTGGGACCCGCCGTCAGCACCAAGGACAGCGGCACCGGCGGGCTCTCCGTCAGCACTAAGGACAGCGCCACCGCCTTCCTGGCCAAAGAGGGCGGCTCCGAGCTGGGATCCCGGCCGCCCGCGCCCTCCTCGGCCAGCGCCCACCGCCGCCGCTGCTGTCGCTTCTGCGTCTGGCTGCTGCAGACTCTCGTCCACCTCCTGCAGCTCGGCCAGGTCTGGAGGTAGGAGAAGCGCAGGTGGAGGGAGCTGATTCCGAGGAGTCTGGGTAGCGAAGGGCCGCCTCCCACCCCAGCTTTCCTCTGATCTCTCTAGGTCCCCTCGTGTCCTGACCTCCACCACACCCCACCCTAATGTAGCTCTGATTTTTTTTTCTCTCTGCCAGCTCCTCCCTGCCCTCTGCTCTCAAACTCTGACCAACCCCAGAGCCATCCTCTTATCTGGCCATTGAGGGAGGAGGGGATGGAGCAAGAAGAGAGAGGAAGGGCCCTGGGTTAATGAACGTGAGTGTGAAGCTTGGAATAGAACTCCAGGGCTCCCTCCATCCCTGACCCACTCCTTTCTGCCCGAGTGCTGAGCCTGGGTGTAGGAAAGATCTCAGAAGTCCTCCCTTGCTCTCAAAGATTCTCAGTTCAGAATTGAAGTCCATTTTCAATCTCCCAGGAGAAGCATGGAATTTGAGGTAGCTAAATGAATATCCTGCTCAAACTTTTTAGACTTTTGGGAAAGGGTATGCCAGACCCAGCTGAGGAGCCATCTGGCTCCTGTTTCTTAGGACTTCTCCAGTGTCCACGTCCTGCCCGCACCTCAACAGGCCCAAGGGGGTTTTGGATCTTGAATCTGAGATTAGATGGCCACTAGCTGTCCTGTACTTGCAGGGCAGTAAGACAAAACTGACTTTGCACAAACAGCCTACTTCCAGGCTTACTCTGCCAGGACTAAGAGTGGCTTCTGAGTTGAGCTGAGCTGAGTTCATTGGAGAGGGGGGAATTCTGAACCGAGGGTTCTTCTTGAATCAGGATTGCTCCAGTAGCTTAGGCTGTCCTGTGCACTGAAAGAATTGAACTTGCTACTTATGTCATCTTAGACAAAACCGCTCTTCCTTCCAAGATTCAGTTTCCTCACCTGTGAAATATGGGAGAATTCCCTCCTTCTCATCTCATTAATCTACCATCATAGTTTATTTACCTAGTGGGTTGGTCATGTGAGAGCTGGTCTGTGGGAGGCCCTGCAAACTTCAATATGTTTTAGTAATGTAATAGATTACTAGGGTTATCACAATTGTATGGAAAAAGTTAAAGTCACAGTAGTGATATAGAGGGTGATTATTGCTGTTCTTATATTTATTCTGTCTGCTACTTGTTAACACGTTCTGCCTAACTCAAGATTTAGTTCTTTGCTGAGGGTTGGAAACAGGACACCCAGAGCTTGTTCCAGATGCTCACTTGCTGTGTCACCCGTGTTGCGTTGCCAAATCTCTCTCTGCCTTGGTTTCCCTCTCTATGCCTTGTCTGGATTTATGTGTATATTCCATTTATCTGTCTTGGGAGAGAAGGAGGGTGAAGTTGTATCCACCCAAGTTGGTGTTGTTATTATTATTAGCTTGACACATAAAAATATTCATGTCTACATCCAGGAACTAATCTGCAGTTATCATTCTGTGCCTGAGTGGACAGATGGTAAAAGATATTTTTAGATTCTGAAATGGTAACTTCCTATTCTTGATGGCCAAATCCTCACTGCCCTTTCCTTCAGCCTAAAGTGGGCCAGCTGCCCCTCAACTCACTGACTACCTCGAACCCTCCTTCGCTTGTTCAGAATCTACATGCAAGAAACTGATATTCCTTCTTGAACAAACTGCATATCTCTCAAATACGGCAAAAAATGATCACAGAGTGTGGATGGGGGCCTCAGGGGCGTGGCTGAAGGTAGCTGATGGCCCATTGAGATCCATGGTTTCTTCGGTAAAAGGACTAGCTATTTCTACTCTCCCCCATTTGTAAAGGGGGCTGGGGTTGCAAACTAATGGCCATTGAAAGCGTTTTGTTTGGCTTGAATAATATTTCAAAACTCTAGAAGTCCTAGCTTCTCTTTAAAAAAAATTATATATATATATATATATATATATATATATATATATATATATATACACACACACACACACACACACACACACACACACACACATATATAAAGGAATCTAGCAATGTCTGGCTTGTAACAATTTAGACAGAATATATGTGCTCCACTGTGTCCCGCTCCATTCTCTTTTGTCACCTTTGGGCCATTTCACATAAGCTTTAGGGGTACAGATCCTCTATAACAATTATTTTACTAAGCACTCACTTTGTGCCAAGCTTACTGCTTGCCTTTTTACCTGTTTCATTTCCTATATCCCTCCGAAGAAAACTCTGATGTGGTTGTATTATCATTCCTACTTGACAGGTGAGGGGATCGAGGCTCAAAAAGTGTACACCCTTGCCCAAGGTCACACCGCTAGGGAGTAGGAGAGCTGGGACTCAAGACTCTGCCTTCAAAGCCCACGTTGAATTTATCCACTTTGCAGTTCTGCCACTAATGTGTCCCTCACGCTCAAAGAATTATGAGTCTGAGATCCCAAGATTCTAGGATGATAGAAAGCCATGGCTCCTGCTGCATTGAGATAAGAATGTGAAAGAAGGGGGAGATAAGGATGTGGGTAAGGATGGGAGACAGTGTATATTGTGGGGAGAGTGCTGGGTTGGGGCACCTATGTCTTCACCCAGGTTTGTAACTAGCTTGTTAAGTGTACTTGGGTGAGGCTCTTCCCACACCAGCCTTAGTTTCCCTGTCTGTCAAGTAAGAATATTAGATTTGATGACTTTAACAACTTTTCTTTTCTGTAATTCTAACGATGGTCTAGCTAGCTAAGCAAAAACCTCTGGGCACCTGTCCCAAACCTTTGGTTTCTGAAATGGCTGAGGGTCTGGCTAAATGGAAGAAAATCCAGACAAGATATAGAGAAGCCAGCAGGGCTGGTATTCCTAGAAGTTAAGCAATGTTGGTACAGCATGTTTGCTTACCACATGAAATGTTCCCACAGTGAACAGTTTCTCTCTTCAGCAGGACTTGGTGCTGATGCTCTGAGTAGTGGGAACTGGAGTACTGAGGAAGGGATGCGTGTCTGAGCCCTCCAGGATCAAAGCTGACTTCTCTGAGCCTCACTTTTTTTCAAGAGGTGACAGGGTCAGAGAGGTCAGGGTTTGGACTTTAACTGGCTTGACAGCCCTGAGTGGCTTAACTGCTCAGACGGTTGGGGTGGAGGTTGGGGAGGAGTGAAAAAACAGGTTGGTTTCCAGCTCATGTCCCACCAAAGGATCTGTGTGCTCTTCTCTTGGGGTTCAATCTGTACACAGCCAATGCTCTGAAACACCCCCCGTCTCCCTACTCAATGAAGTTATTCACCTCCTGATCTCATATCTCCAATTCTGAATACAAGAATTTAAGTCATAAAGGTATCTTTCAACTCCTCATGCTGGTACAATACTGGATGAAAAGCTTAAATACTTTGAGAAGCAGGAAGCACAGACCTGTGTGCTGTCAGTCAAGAGGACATTTGGGGGTAAGCAGTGTCTTAGAGAAGGGGAAGCCACCACCTAGCCCCACTGAGGGTGCCATGAGAAGTTGTGGACTTGGTATTGTCAATTTGTGATTTATCATGAGAAGTGGAAAATTGGGATTTTTGTGTGAATTCTTCCAATTTTCAGTTATTAATTAATATTTTTTAAAACATGTCGACCAAAGTTAACACATTTGGGAGCTTGTCTTCTTTGTGACCTCTGGTCTAGCTCTATACAACTCATGAGGTGCTTTCTTATTCTATTTCCAAACAACCTTGCAAAATGGGTATTGGTATTATTATTTTAAACACAAATGGGGCTCTGAGGAGGGAGGCGATGGGGAGGAATTCATGGATACCACGCACTCACTCTGTCCCAGTCGGCCCCATGTGAGGCACAGGCACAGTATCTCTTTTTTCCCCTGAACTGCCCTTCTGTTGGCAAATGACACACGTTTACCAGACAAAAAAGTGAGGCTCAGAGAAGTCAAGTAACTTGTCCAAGGTCACCCACTAAGGAAATAGGAGGGAGGTGAGGTGCCAACCCAGTTTTGCCCAACTCGCAAGCCCAAGCTCTGTTCCTGGCACCCCCATGCTGATGGCATAGGGGGCAGACCATTGGCAGAGTACAGATTGAACCCCAAGAGAAGAGCACACAGATCCTTTGGTGAAACATGAGCTGGCTGTGGGCTGGTCACCAGTCTGTGTTTTCATTCCTCCCTACCCTCCACCCCAACCGTCTGAGCAGTTAAGCCACTCAGGGCTGTTAAGCCAATTAAAGTCCTAACCCCGTCTCCCTGACCCTGTGGGCAGCAGAGCAGTAAGCCATGACTCCTGCTTTCTCTAATCTTGAATTCACTGGGCTCCACGTCTGCCCGGATAAGCTTGGTTTGCTAAGCCAATTAGTGGGTGATGACCTGGCACAGTATTCCTTCTAGGCTGTCAGGATCTGGGGACCCCAGAATGGGAGGGAGGGAGGCAGCCTGGGCTTTGAAGGCCCTCCCTCTGCTACCCCCTCTGTGTCTAGGCCTGAGCACTGCTCCCTTTGACTCCTCAAGAGTCCTGCTTGGTGTGAAAATCAGACCCTGTGTCTCTTCTCTGGGAAGCCATAGTCTTGGAATAATGGTTAAGTGCGTGGACTCTATCCCTAACTGGTTTGGCTCAGTGGGTAGAGCATCAGCCTGTGGACTGAAGGGTCTCTGGTTCAATTCTGGTCAAGGGCACATACCTCAGCTGCAAGCAGGTCAGGGCAGGGCAGGGGTCGGGAGGCAACCAATTGGTGTGTCTTTCTTTTTTTATTTATTTTAAAAATATATATATTTTATTGATTTTTTTTAAAGAGAGGAAGGGAGAGGGATAGAGAGTTAGAAACATCGATGAGAGAGAAACATCAATCAGCTGCCTCCTGCACACCTCTTATTGGGGATGTGCCCGCAGCCAAGGTACATGCCCTTGACTGGAATCGAACCTGGGATCCTTCAGTCCATAGGCCAACACTCTATACACTGAGCCAAACTGGTTAGGGCTGATGTGTCTTTCACATCAATGTTTCTGTCTCTCCCCCTCCCTTCCATTCTCTCTAAAAATTAATGGAAAAATATCCTCCAATTGAGGAGTAACAGAAAA